TATCATGAATTTATATACGGATATATACCGCTATATGTAAATTTTTTGTTTTTTCATTCTTTGTTTCATTGCAGCCATTTGTTAAAATGAAAAACAATTATTTTATTTCTCAGTAATGTACACTTAACACTACATTTCGACAGAAAAAAATAAAATGTAGAGATTTTTGCAAATTTATTAAAAAAAGAGAAACTGAAATATCGAATGGTAATAAGTATTCAGACCCTTTGCTGTGACACTCACATTTATCTTGCAAGCTTTCCATTTCTTCTAATCCTCCTTGAGATTATTCTGCTCCTTCTTTGGATTCCAGCTTGTTTAATTAAAGTGATTGGACTTAATTAGGAAAGGCACATATCTGTCTATGTAAGACCTTACAGCTCACAGTGCACGTCAGAGCAAATGAGAATCTTGAGGTCAAAGGAACTGCCCAAGGAGCTCAGAGACAGAATTGTGGCAAGGCACATATCCGGCCAAGGTTACAAAATAATTTCTGCAGCACTCAAGGTTCATAAGAGCACAGTGGCCTCCATTATCCTTAAATGGAAGAAGTTTGGGACAACCAGAACTCTTCCTAGACCTGGCCGTCCAGCCAAACTGAGCAATCATGGTAGAAGAGCCTTGGTGAGAGAGGTAAAGAAGAACCCAAATATCCCTGTGACTGAGGTCCAGAGATGTAGTAGGGAGATGGGAGAAAGTTCCACAAAGTTAACTATCACTGCAGCCCTCTACCAGTTGGGGCTTTATGGCAGAGTGGCCCGACGGAAGCCTCTCCTCAGTGCAAGACATATGAAAGCCTGCATAGAGTTTGCCAAAAAACACATGAAGGACTCCCAGACTATGAGAAAGAAAATTCTCTGGTCTGATGAGACCAAGGTTGAACTTTTTGGCACTAATTCTAAGTGGTATGTAGAAAACCGGGCACTGTTCATCACCTGCCCAATACAACCCCAACAGTGAAACATGGTGGTGGTAACATCATGCTATAGGGGTGTTTTTCAGTTGCAGGGAGAGACTGACTGGTTGCAATTGATGGAGAGATGAATGCGGCCAAGTACAGAGATATCCTAGAAGCAAAGCACTTCCAGACTGTGCAGGACCACAGACTGGACCGAAGGTTCACCTTCACCAACAAGACAATAACCCAAAGCACACAGCTAAAATAACAAAGGAGTTGCTTGGGAACAACTCTGTGACCATTCTTGACTGGCCAGGTCTGGTAGCTTAAAGGGGTTCTTCTCAGTATCTTAACTGTCCCTTAAATGGATATTTCAGACTGAGATCTCTGATGTTTCTCCAGATATCTGTTGGAGCCACTTCTCCTCTGTAGGGCTTACTGCCCTCAGTGCTGCCATGACCCCATGTTCAGTTGCCCTCACCTTCCAGGTTCTCTCTAGCTCTCCTCTGAAACCTTTGCATTTCTCCGATTTCTCATGTTCAGTTTTCCTGATGGTTAAATGATTAGGGATGGCCGCATCAATCACTACAGCTATATAGTATATATCTATATATACCATAACACTGGAAAACCGACCCTTTTTATCAGTTAGATTTATTATGCTTTATTAAAAGCTAAACACTTTTTTAATGTTCTATTTATATTTTCTGTTTGGTTTATCTATTGGAAGGTTGAATAAGTAACATTTCAGGTAGAAATCTTTGTGATATGATTCACACACACCCAGCTGACCAAATGTTTACCCCGTAGACCACTCTGTTCATTCCGAGGTGTTTTTTTGGAGGGCTGGCTCTGCACATTTGCACAGTGTGTGGACTGTCCTGACAGTCCAATGCACACCTAGTCCCACCTCTTCTCTCACCCCCTTAGCTCAGGACCTTTCTCTCTTTATGGTCCTTCTGTAGTTCTAACGTGGGTCAGCTACTTGTTCAAAGTCCCTGCTTGAGACATTTTGGAGATATTTATCCTTCAAAGCCGCCATGGGTCACAGCAGCATCTGCAGGGTTGTCCTGCTTCTCTTTAGTGTCCTGTTAGCCCTTGCACACACAGGTAAAGCTGATTTTCTTCATAGTTTCATATTTACTTCTTCAGGAACAATGAGTTTAGAACTGTACCTAAATTCATAGAATTCAACTTTTTCAGTCTTGAATTTCCCCAAATACTGGGTTTTAACAATGTTCTCTCAAACTATAGGTAATTTGATAGCCTTTTTAGTTCAGTTATTATTTCTAAGGTGTGTGAGTTTGTGCCATTTCTGAATTACGCACATCTTTTCATGTCGTCAGAAGTAAATTGAGCAGTTGTTAAAGCTGTGAAAGCTCCTCTATGACAGTTAGGATGACTCACATGCTTTCATGATATCTGATGTTGGTATGAAATAAGAAAAAATAAACTTCCCCTTTTCCTTAACCTGAGCAGAAGTGATTCAGTCTGGCACTGCTTGATATTTTTTGCTATTTTACAGTGTGGGGGACATTTTAACTTGACATCTATGTGTTCGCATAGAACAGCGGACATATATAAATATATATGTTCATTTATCTTTTTTTGAGGTTTTCTTTTGTGGTATCTCTATTGTAGCCTTTTAAAAGCACAGCAGACTGAATCTTAGTCCCAGCGGTCAGTGTGGTGTTTAAGAGGCCAAGGAGGGTATTTTTCTCTTTGCTTAATGTATCTATAGAGAAAACTCTACCAAAATATCTGCTGTGATGAGTAGAATCAGTAAAACCAACCAAAAACAAAAGAGTTTCTGTTTAGTCTTTTCACGTGAATTTGTTGTGAGTGACAGGGATGTCATGTGGATAGTGGCTTTTATCCAGTAATGCCACACGATTTGACCACAATACAGTGTGACTTGCTGCCTCATCTGTTGGTTCAGCATTAGGAAAGAAACTGACACTAATACTGCAATAAAAGGGTAGGCAATTTCCCAAGCTTTATGTTTTGTTTTTGTTTTTTACTTTTTTATTCATATCTCACAAAAAAATAACATTTTGTAAAAAGAAAAACAAAAAAACAATCAATCAAACATTTTATTATGGAAAATCTTAGGACTACATGTGGTAGGTATAGAAGGATGAAGCGAGGACACAGACAGTAATGCCAGCTCTATATTTGGATGCATCATTTCTACCTCTGAGGCTCTGCAAGGTTACTTTTCACACACAGTTGTCTGGACTCCCGGTCATCTCTCTGGTTGGTGTGAAATCCTTATGCTGATCCCTGAGTTAGCAACAAATGGTTTTCTGTGTTTCTAATGTCTGAAAGGTTCCTTCTGTATCCTCCAAGCTGTAATGAGTAATAATCCTTGATTTGTGTGATGTGACAGATGAGGGCCTGCAGAGATCCGAAGAACATGTACCGTGCATTAACATGAAACTATAGCAATGCTAAGAGGTTAGAAGACAGAATAGGCATCCGATCAGAAGAATGATGGTGATATTATCAACTTTTTCCATCTGCAAAATCGACAGCACTGCCAGATCAGTGTTTCATGTGCCATTTTTGCGTATCTCCAAGAGCAAGATACTCATCTCTAAATCGTCTAAACATTTACTTCGTGAATGTGTGGGTGTAAAAAAAAAAAAAAGCGCTGTCGGTGTTACATTTAACCGCTGGCAAATCTGAATTTTGCTGAGATTAGAAAAAACTGTGCTGTACGGTAACAGAGTAGAGTCCTTAAGCAGTAAGCATAACGTTACTAATTTGTTTAAAAGCAAACAATTTGAATTATTACTTTTAATTTCTAAACAATTTTCTAAAACTAAAAAGCAAGTTTAACAAACTAAAATCTTAGTCAACATTTAGCAACTAATTATCTTCTATTTCACTTACTTTTAAAAAGAAGTAATGTTTGGTGGGATAGGAAGCGTATATAGCAAGAATATACCCTAAAGCAACAAATATACAGCTTAACAGCTTAAGATGTGTATTAAAATCATAGCTGCACTAATGTTCTAGTTTATAGTCAGATAATAACTGAATAAATACATTTTGCATGTGTAAAAAAGAATTTCTTTTTAGTTTCCATCAGTTACATTGCAAACCAATATCAGTACAAAAATACCATAAATGTATAAAAAAAAAATTAAGTAATCAAAGACTACTCGAACATTTTTGTCAATAAAGAACAAACTAGATATGGAGCAGCTGAATGTCACTTTAAGAGGAGAAGCTAAGTTAGCAACAGAAATAAACGTGTGCACCATATCCAAATAGAGTAAACGAACACCTAATCAGATTTAGTCAAACTTCTGCTTCCATATAAATTACAGCCAGTTAGCTTCATATACAAAGTAGCTGATTGATAAATTGATTTAAAGCGAACTTTTGCCATTATCCCTCATCTCTAAATGATTAAAAGGCCTATGGTGAAAGGCAATGGCACATTTTTACATAGATTCATAAAGATCACAAAGAAATGGTTGAGCTACTAAAATTAAAAGGCAATTTTAAGTTCAGCAAAAAATAACAAAATTGTACTTTAATTACAATAGACAAAATAAATTATTAGCTCACTACAGCCCATAAAAATTTAGCTCTATATTAATTTATAAATAGACGAGGATTTGTTAAACCTTTTCAAAAACAAAATAAAACTGATTGATTAAATCAAAGCTCTTTTTTTTCTAGCAAGACTCTAAGGTTGTTGAATGTGATAAAGTGACTTTTCTAACAGTTTGATAATCTTCCACAGTTACAAACATAATGGTCATGTGAGAGAATGAGACATTGTCTATCATCTGTTCAATTTAATTCAGTTTATATATATTGCACCACTTCACTATATATATATATTTAAGGTAATTTATGAAGGGAATTCAATCAAATCATACAAATTGTGAAATTACTGATTACATCAAGTCATTGACTTTGCAGGATTCACTCAACCCAAATGAGTGTCATTAGATAGGTTAATTCAACATTCAGATGTGTAAATAAAGAAAAATTGATTAAATTAATATTTCCAACATGAAATAATAAAGTAAACCTCTCATGGCAAGAGACACCCAGGAAGTACAAAAAGTATCATGTCATTGGTTTCTTTCACATTTTCATTCAATCACAGTGCTCAGAACTACAGCCATTTTAACACACAGGGTCTATTTAATAAACAAGTTTGTTTGACTTTGACAAGTTTTGCTTTGCCTGCTTTCGGCCTGTCCGGCCGTTACTGGTTGAAGCCTGTTGGTCTGCTTGGCCGCACAAGCTGCCTTTTGTGTCATCAGCTGAAGGCCTCATTGATGGCTATGCTGGCCACGAGCCTGGGCCTCCAGACCTGAAGCCAGCACCGGGACAGGAGGCTGCTCACAGTCAACAAGGCAGCATCAAAACACGCACATCAAACACTGGAGTTACGAATATTAGCAGATACCGCATCTGACATCTTATTACACTTCTTCATGATCAAGCCTCCACTCACTCTATTTTCTAATTTTGTATATGACTAGAAGACTGCTGATTAGGTTAGAGAGAGAGAGAGGCCTAACAGTAAATACCAAGTGTTAAATATGCTGCATGTAAAAATATTTTGATTATGGTTGTGCTGGAATGCAAGTAGTCAAGAACTGGGTGAGTAAATTGCTTAGTGTCTAAATGGGTGGGCCTCCTGAAGAGTTTATATATGTTTTCCCTTGAATTTTCAAAGCAAAGCTATTCTGAAGTTCATCCACAGCAACTAACTTTTCCACAAGCTGCACCCTAAATGTTGACTTCGGACAAATAAAAATGTGTCTCAGAGAAACAGCTTCTGTCTGTCCAGCTGTATTGTGAAAAGCCGCACGCTGGAAGAGGAGGATTGGCAGCCGAGGCCGAATTTGGATTGGTAGATAAAAAAATAAAAAAAAAGAACAGAGGAGGAAACACGGTTAAACATATTCCCAGTCACCAACGGTCTGTGTTTGTTGTTTGCTCTTACATTTTGTGGACCCTAAATCTTAGAGCGAAAAAAAAAAAATCCTTAGACAACCTGTTAGTCAAACTGAGAAACTGTCCATCTGTTACAAAGGCATCTTTATACTCAGACCTGACCTGGAGACAGAACAGAGACTGTTTAGAGAATTACAGACTAGTGCTGCTGTGAGCGCTCAAAGTCTCCAAAGCAGAGAAGTACGTCCATTAGCATTAGGATTTACCTCATTCTCAGTTCTTCAAGTAGTCAAAGAAGCTTGGTTATTTGTTTCTTTCTCTTCTGTGCAGAGACACTGTTGGCTGCTTCCAGTAGAGACCAGCAGGATGCCATGTCTGGAGATCCTCCCACTGAAGTTACAACTAAAAACCCTTTCCTGGACATCTCAGCACATACCTACAGCTTTGAGTTTGAGGATTCCACACATCCACCGATCCTGGACGAGGACGAAGGTTAAACCATAACCAGACTTTTATTTTGTTGATCCAGCATATAAAACAGCCTTTAATGCTCTACAGTATATACTGTAAAAAAAAAAATTAATCCATACATTTCTTAAACATTTTACTTGACCTCTGTATTCAACCCATCCCCGTGGGGCGCCCAGGGAGCAGTGTGGGGTTAAGGGTCTTTGCTCAGGAACCCAGAGTGGCAGTCTGTGGGAGTGGGGCTTGAACTCAGAACCTCAGGATTCCAAGCTCTATGCCCTAAACACTAGGCCGCTATTAATCCTTCTTTTCCCTTTAAGTCGCACCTAAATGAGACAGGTTGTCACACATTCTGTAGTAGAAATATCCTGACTATTTACAAAATCTATATTTTGATTCATGATATAGTTTATTATCAGAAAACAGCTGTGTAAACCAACCTCGCCTATCAAAACCTAACTTATGATTGTATCACCATTTGCTGCAACAACTGCCAAAAGACATTTGCAGTTATTTGCAATGAGCCTTTTACATCTCTGTGGAGAAATAGTCTTATTGATTTAGCTGACTGTTAATAGGTAAGTTATTAAAGTGCTGAGTAGTTTTACATTAGGCACATTTTACCAAATGCCCTGCCCTCATTTAAGTGTAATTTTTTGTTAAATGTGTCATGGCTTTGAGGTGTTTCTTTTTTGGTCAGCGGTAGTTGTCACCTTGAAACTCTCCCATGAATGCCGTGTTGCCCAGTCTCTACTCTGATCTTTGTGACCCTAAACAAAGCTGCAGAACACTTTTACTCTCCTGGTAAAGTTCATCTATGCTGCTTCTTTTTCTCCCTTTGCAAACCGCAGAAATGGTTCAAACACATTTTTGTAAATCCAATTTAAAAATGTCCAGACTTACTGATGTCACTGAGGTTGTTTCCTATTTTTTCAGAAACTTTGTTAAATCCAGCCAGACATGTTCTTTCTCATTATTATTCATGCCTAGCAGTAATCAGGTCTTGTTTTAGCCAGTAAAACTAAACTAGCTCTTGGTTTTGAAAACCTTTTCCTTTTATAACTAACCTCATCATTTAAACGTTTTTACTTTGGTTAAATTTATCTAGTATTAGACAGTGATGATTTCCTAAAATGCAACCTTTTTAAGAAGTTTTAAAAACAAACTGTTTATGGATCAGTATGTCAAAAATATAACAGGAAGAAGTAGTCTGTGTGTGAAAGACAGAAAAAACATAAATGAATAAACATGACCATTGTGTTGTTATTAAAAAAAAAAGTATTCCTTTATATATATTCTTTTATTATATATATAAAAATAGCTGTTTATATTAACTGTAACACTTAAGTAAAAGAGAAAAAATATGGCAATGTTTGTAAAACAATCTAAAGTTAATTTGTGTGTTTTCTAGGTGTTCTGGGAGCGGGGGCCATAACAGCCATAGTTATTGCAGTGTTCCTGGGAGCATCGGTCCTCCTCGCCCTTATCGTCATCACCATCAGGAAGTTCACAGCCTCCTAGAGAGAAAAACATCTCCCTTTTTGTATGCATGGATGTATCTTTGTGTGTATCTGTGTTTTTTTTTAGTTGTGTGAGAGTTTGAGTTTCTGCCTTTTGTCTTTCACATCAAACCCTCAGCTCGCCCCCTCGTATTTCGTTTTGAGATGAGATGTTTGTGCCACAGAAGAAATGGCAGGTCCCTTCAAAAAAAAAACAAAAAAACATTGACAGTTCCGCTCAATGTGGAAAAATAACAAAAACTGGCTGGCTTTTCCAGTGCTTTTCCCCAAATCATCTTTTTTTGCTCATTCTTGGAGTGTTGTTTTTATGTTATCATGGATGGATGGATGGATGGACGGACATATCATATATTACTTATTCTCACATACCTTTTTTCTTACTGTTGAGTCTCAAGTTCTATGTATTTCTTTTTGGTTCCAGAAAACCTTAACAAGGAAAGGAGTTTAGTTTTTATTATAACTTCTGCAAGAATTTAAAGGGTCAAAATAGAGGAGAACATAACTATAAAGTGTTTAGGACATAGAAATAGTTGCTAAGTGAGGTGAATGATATGCTATAATTTTAAAACCCCCTCCCAAACGCACACACACACATTCTTTCCTGAGATAAAGAATTTTGTCTATTTGCTTGAGTTTTTAGCTTAACATGTCACCTGCCTAATTTCTATTGAATAATAGACAATTAAAGTTAAAAGTGTTGAATATTGAAAATTTTTGGTCTTGTTTTTTTACATGTAAAACTGTGAGTGAACATCAGTTATTATTTTTGGTACATCAATGGATGATTCCTATATGTGTTTATTACATTTTAAAAACAGCTTGCAATATTTCTTTCTCTTAGACACTGAGACAATTCATTACTCTATTGATCACCATGGCAGTTATTCAGGTGATATAGCATCACAAAGACAAGACAATTATTGTTAAAGTAATAAGATATTTTAGAAATAGAACAGAAAAAAAACAACATTATAATCAACAGTGGTACATATCCTCTAAACAGACATAGACAAATGAAGATGATAATAGTGAAAAAAGTAGCACCAGCTGTAGTACAAAGTGCTGCAACTATAGGAGTTCATTATCAGTATAATAATGACAATGATAATTAAGTATTTCTAATCAATTACTATGTGTTTCAAATGCACTTTATACAAAATAAAGTGTAGATGGATGATGTAAAGAGTATTTAAAGATATTAATTAACATGCAGTATGCAAAGTAATGTTAAAACATGAACTGTTTTCAAAAAGCTTTGTTTTTTTATTACTGGCCATGGAAATAATTTTATTACATCTGTTCAGTGTGTTATATATAAAACATTTAATGTTTAAAATATTAAATGTTTCCAATTTATGTCCAGTTATGCAGAATTATTTACAACCCATTGTATTCAGTAATATACAGTCCATATTTGATTGTATTTTCCAAATTAAATGGGTGTAGAAATCTTCAAATCTCAAGCTATCGATCTTACATAAAAGTGTTTAAAATAATCTGCTTTTAGAGTCAAGGCTTGAGTTAATCATTCTGGACTCTTTACAGTACCTTTTATAGAACAGCAGATGGCAGTTAACGTATCAGACTCACCTCAGTTCACAGAAGTTTCCTGACATCCTTTGAAGTGAAAGTAGTAATCAGAAAGCTTCACCCTCAGTGAGTCTGTCCAAGCATATAGCATTCCTCTGTGAGGTGACTTTGGTAAGCTCAAACCTCCATCTTCCAGCGACAGAAAAAAGACCACACAGAAATTCTCACACTTACAATTCAGTCAAGTCATTTCATCACATGAAACCAGGAAACCATCAAACATAATCACTGTCAAAAATCTGCTTCTGCAGCTTCCCACAGTCAGTTATAACTAAGCGCTCACTCATTCCCTTTGATATGGGAAGATAAAATGTCAGCACCCCTACCTGTTCAAGAATCACAGTTTGGTCTTTTTAGTCCTGAATTACTCATTTCTGTAAAAAGATTAAGATGAAATCAAAAAAAGTGAAGAAAGATTGCATAAACCACTAAAGAGATATTTCAAGTCACACCTTTAAGAATAAAATGTCTCAGTATTAAAAGGACTAAATAATCACCTGGAAATTTCAGTTTGAGGAAACAAAAAACAAATACATAAACAGTCAGAGGAAGCCGGTGGCATTTACTGGCACTGATGTTCCCTGAATTTCATATCTCAATTTTTTTTTTTCTCGTATTGTGCTGTTGTATTTTAGGTAACGACAGTCTCCTTGAGCCTTTATAGTCAGGTGATCACTCCCTTAGTTTAATGTGGCCTGCAATGCTTCACAATCAATGTGTTGGTTGAAGATAAGTGTTGGTGGTCAGGTGGAAATTTGTGGTTTTCACTGGAAAGTGTTGGCTGAATGTTCCTGAACGCTGTGGAAACCAATGAAAAAGCATATCAACAAAAAAAAAAATATGGTATGAAAATGAATAAGAAGCTTCACAGGCAGATTAATAATATGACACCCATTGTAAAAATGTTGTCCCACAGAGTGAAATAGCTCAACAACATCGATTTTGAAATAGCTTCAAACAAAGTAAGGTAGAAACATCGTTAAAGTCTGAGAAAGATCTCCTTCCTCCACCTTTGCTTTTATTTTGCCACTTTGCAAGTGACCATTTACATTGGGAACTCATACCATGGCAGTTTAAGACTTGCTGAACAAGTTCAGCTGAAAAAAAAAACACATCTAAGCAAACACATGTGTGGCATGACGCAGGAAGTGGTGATGAAACAACAAGAGGCAGAAAAGCAGAAGCTGTCTGGCACTGTAGAGACACACAGAAAGAAACGGCATAATTCCTTTGCGACAATGATGAGGTAAGAACAAGACTGGATTTAAATTTTCACCTGTTCAGGTTACATTATAAAACAAAGCAATTGTAAATCTTCATGCATTGATGTCAAATGCTTACCTGTTAGATTGGTTTGTTAAGGTGTACGAAAGGGTGTCCTTATTAATTCAACTGAATTCTAATGCAAAAGACTTAACTTGGCAAGAAGAATTTGTCCTGCAATCCTTTCACGTCTTAGAATTGATTCTTTTGCTAGTCTGCTCCTGCATAGATACCTACTGGTAGTTTCTAAGTTTAAGAGTTCAAGCTGCAAGGAAATTTTTAACCACATAGCTATTTGTTATATTTAGACCTCTGTATTTCCTCCTTAAATAAAAAATAACTTTAGATTTTGTGTGGCCTTTGCCGCCATAGTTGGACCACACTAAGGTAGAGTCTAAGGAAAGTAGTCCTGGTAGTAGCTGCTCTCAATGAAACCTCCATTTAAAAACAAAATAATCCGTATTCTGCAGATGCTAAACACTATCTAGGTGATTTCCATCACAAATTACAACATATATCAGTCTGTATCTCTGTACCCTTAAATCAGATTAACATCACCAGTCTAGATGAAGAAGACGAGCGGTTGTATGTAAGGAGTTCCCATGCTACATTGTCTAGTTTTTACAGTGGGGACGAAAAAACGAGCCCGCAGCTCGCATACCCACACATCTGAGAAGTTTCAGTTGCCTCAGTGCCTTGCTTTATGTTTAATGTTCAGTGTGGGAACTAAAAGTAATGACAGGAAAGACACAATCATTTCACACAATGAAATGTTTTCTTTGAAATATTTGGCATGGCTGATGAAATCGGATCAAATCTGTTTCTCTACAGCAACAACAGCACAAACTCCTGTTCAACTGAAAATGTTGACAAAATGATGCAATATGTAGAGCTGATCATCTACATTCCTATATTCTGCATTGGGATAGTTTTAAATCTGACGGCTCTGATGGCGTTTTGCTTGTGCCTCCGAAAGTGGACTGAGACAACCATCTTCATGACTAGCTTGGCTCTAATGGACCTCCTCCTTCTCTTACCTCTACCCTTCAAAATGCACGCTGCAAATTACAAGTGGTCGGGCGGATCCCAGATGTTCTGTTCCTTTCTGGAAAACCTTTTTTTTTTTGGCATATATGGCAGCATCTACATGATTATGTGCATAGCAATTGATAGGTGGCTGGCAATATGTTATCCATTCAAAGCCAAGCAGCTGCGCTCCCCCAGAGCAGCTTTCTTAGCCTCCCTGGGGATCTGGATTCTGACTTCTTCTGCAGTCTTTCCGGTCACCTACAACTTAAGGGAGAATTATACAGAGGACTTCCACTGCTTCCACAGGTTTTCAGAGAAAGGCTGGAGTCCAGTGGTGATCATTTGCTTGCAGGTGTTTGGTTTTCTGGGGCCTGCGCTCGTGGTGGTTAGCTGTTCGGTTCATACCATCTGCGTTCTTCAGGAGTCTGGCCAACGTAGCCCAAAAAGCCAGGCCTGCATCAAGATCATCTACAGCAGCCTGGGGGCCTTCTTGGTGCCGTTCACGCCGAGCCATCTGGCCATCTTCCTGCAGTTTCTGGTGAGACACACTGCTCATACGGAGATAAGAAGATATAGAAACTTAGGAACAAACAAAGAAATAAAAATAAACTAAAACAATTTTAAGAAATAAGGTCTTTAGATAAATACATGTAAATCAATTTAAATTAACATAAACAGATGATGATTTAAAGATCAAACAATACTGGATAGATTCAGCTGAATTAGTTTTTTGCTTAAAGGTTATTTCAAGATGACTATTTATCTAATTAAACATAATGACATAATGAGAATCTTCTGGACGTGAAATTCTTTTTCTCACACCCTTATTTCTTTATGACAAACCAGTGGACTTGCAGCTTTACTCTACTACACACTATTGCAATGACTCAGAGTCTCTGGTGTATTCTTCAGTTTTGTTCCCACAGACACAAAATAATTCATGTACATAACATTCAAAACATATGTATATCTCACAACTTTATGTTTGGTTTTAAGATCACACTAACTTTTATAACAAAGCATATAAATAACTTGTCTAACTGTGTGTACTGTTTGCTGATGTTAGATTATTGTTAAAATCATTATATGCATCTGCAAGTGGTGAATATATACAGATGAAATATTTTTGCAATTGCTTGTTTGAAAAAAAATTTCTCAGGGTCATCTGAGAGAAACTTAATATACACTCTAAAATATATAATTGATAAACTTTATTGATCTCACAGTGGAGAAATGTCCTTGTTACATCGGCTCAATAGTCAAAAAGAAGAAAGGAGGAAAGGTGCATGGGGTATATATAAAGTATATACACTGCATCCTTATATATCAGCTGAAGTCTCTTATTTAACAGAATTATTACACGATGTGTATTTATATATATAGGTATTTATATACACATATATATATATATATATATATATATATATATATATATATATATA